TTTATATTTAAATATAACTTGTATTATAAAATAACTTTTAGCTATCTTCAACATATCTCATATATATTTATTAAATAACAATTACTGCAATGTCTTATAGTGTCTATGTTTCTGCCCCTTTTTCTGCTTCTACAGAAGCTTCTTAACAGACCAAAAATGCTGTTAAACTGTTTGTAAAATAATTCACCTCCTTGTGTTTCATATCATAAATATCAAAAATACAACATTTCCATCCATTTCTTGTAGTAAAACATAAATTTGAACCATTTCACTGAATCTGGTATTATTATAAAAATCATGTCTTAAAATATCATTTATATTTAAATATAACTTGTATTATAAAATGACTTTCAGCTATCTTCAACATATCTCATATATATTTATTAAATAACAAAAACTGTAATGTCTTATAGTGTCTATGTTTCTGCCCCTTGTTCTGTCACTTCTTCCACTTCTGCCCCTTGTTCTGCCGCTTCTTCCACTTCTGCCCCTTGTTCTGTCACTTCTTCTGCTTCTGCCCGTGCCCCTCCTTCTGCCATTGCTTCTGCTTCTGTCACTGTTTTTGCTTCTGCGCCTGCTTTACTCTTCTTTCTTTTTTTGTTTTTTTCATTTGATTTCTTGCGCTTCCTCAGCAGAGATACATGAGAAGCTGAAGAGCCAAACTTCTCTCTAGCTATCTGGACCATTTGGTTTGCCCTTTCCAAAATGGTGCCAATCTCTCCTTCAACACTTAGGATACTGGGCCTGAGCTTGGAATAAAATTCCCAAGTTTCAAGGAGGCATATAACAGTGTGAACATAGAAATTAATAAACAGTACATGTAATTTTTAAGCAAATGAAATATCTTCGCAGTAATGTACCCAACTTAAAGCAGTTGAGAAAAGCAAGCCTGAAAAAAAATTATGGCTTGAACGGGATTCGAACCCATGACCTCTGCGATACCGGTGCAGTCGCTCTACCACTGAGCTATCAAGCCAAGGGGTTTGGCCATTTGTGAGTTCGTTATATACCCGTAGATGGAGAGGATATGAGATGAATATATAAAATTCATATATTTGACGTACTGCGGATAGCCGCGATACAAAAACACGACTTTCATATAATTTCATATATACATCTCAGTACATGTACTATTGGAGTTGAAGACATTATTGTTAAAGTGATTCCTGTGAATGCATGGATACATAAAAACTGATATTTTATATAACAAGTGTATTCATGCTCACCTTCTTTGACAGGGGTGCCACACAATGCGATCTGCTCATCGCACTGTTGCCTTGCTTCCTTTGCCAAATTATGCGCCTTTTCTATGCCCTCGGTAAATTTGCACAGGGAATCGTACATATTCCGTGGGACTTCCTGCCCATCTTTAGCCTCCAAGCAGCTTTGAACTTGAGGGTAGCGCTCACACATCTGCTGATGTAGCCCCCAAACGCTTCGGTCTCTGTAATATGGGGTCCACTTTGATAATGCACACTTTTGTGCTGAGGCAATCATCAGGGAAATTCGCTGTTGGCGCATTCTTCTGCACCAAAGTTCGCATTCTCTAAGAGACTTTGAAAACTGCATCCTGTATTCTGCCATTTGTAAAATAAATGTATTTGAGAAAGTTTGAAACGGGTTCAGTGGGTTATCATACCAGAGGTTCTGGTATTTAACCTTCAAGGCTTTTGAAGAAACCACGATATTTCCTTGGCCATCTCTGGTGTGAAAAAAGTCCTTAAATCCGGGCCGTAAGGACAGCACCACAGAGGAACTGGATGTCTTGTAAGATGTGGTACCAGTAGAACATGTAACATTTGATGATGGTGGTGCATTTTTTGTCTTCTCTGCGTTCCAAAGAGCATACTCCCGTTTCAACCTCTTTAGCTGGATTTTGCTTAACCCAAATTCTTTCGCATCTTCCTCGTCTATATCCTGTAAATGTTCAATTTTCTCTACACCTTGCTTAATAAAAGCATCTTTAAAGTTTTCGAGGGACGTTTTCTTTAGAAAGGACAAAAACTGATCATCACGATCATTGACCGTGTTTTCCTCGACGTCCGCCATCTTGGAAAAAGGCCAGGTTGCGAAATACAATGCAGTCTTGTTTTCAGTCTTACTCGACATTTGATCGGGAAAATGGCGCCAACGACAAGGGGAAGAGATGTTCGTCGAAATTTCAATTCAGCTTTCCTTGGTTTCAAGAATATAGAAGTATCAGTGTGTAACATGACTGTTACTCAAGCTCGTGAAATGTTGTTAGAGAAATCGCGATCGACAATATCTGAATTATCAAGAACCAGAATAGATTCCTGGATCAGTCTTAAGTAAGTAAGTAAGTAATTTTATTTAACCACATATCGCATATGAGCGATAGCTCGTTTAAATGCAAATGTGCCATAAAAATTACAACGTGATAATTTACATAATCTACATGTACAAGTAATGAATAAAAATAAGAAATAGAAAAATTAAACCAACTAAAAGATAATAATAATTTAAAAAGAAAAAATATTGGTAATCAGATTGTCTATTTACAAAATTCACAGTTGCAGTCATACGATGAAGACAACTGTATGTTTTGCAAGTTTTTCCTAAAGATAGAGAGGGACTCCGACATCCTTATTTTGTCTGGTAGACTGTTCCATTGTTTGCCAGCCTGGTACGTGAAAGAATGTTGCATATAAGATGAGGTCGGTCTGTGAAGAACAACCTTAATATGGCCCCGCAGGCTGTAACCATTGCTTCGCAGTAAAAACATTTCCCGAATGTAGTTCGGTGCCTGGTTATAAATGCTATTGTATACAAGTATCAGTGCTTGTTCTATGCGTCGATGTTCCAAGCTTTTGATATGTACAGTTTTAAGTAGCTCTTCATAAGCAGTCGACTTGGAGTAGTTAAGAAGAGTCCTAAGAGCAAATGCATTGGTTGACTCTAGTTTTGCAGACAAACCTTTACTTAGAGTAGACCTATGAACAATGGTGATGCGTATTCAAAGTGAGGCAGAATAAATGCTTTGTACAGTTTAATCATAATATCTGAGGGTATAAGTTTACGAATGCGACGAAGAATTGAAACTTTTGTGTTCACTTTCCGGCAAATTTCTTTAATATGTGCTTTAAAAGAGAGTGAATTGTCTTCTAGATGAGCTGAGCGTAAATCCCTGCCTGCCATTTGAAGCAGCATACCAGGAGTATGCAGCTAAAATTAGTACCGTGGCACTTTCACAGGACCAAAAAAGTGCAAGAGTTGTGTTTCGACATACGCTTTTATCGAAAAGCGGACTTCCAGTGATCATCGCCCATGCTAAAGGACAAAGGTATTTTATAGTTCAGAATTTATATGGGGGAGGGGGGAGTAGGGTTGTTTGGTTTTCTTATATTTTATATATAAAGTATTAAAATGGAGAGCTCTTGCTCGAAAAGTGGGAACATATCATGTTTTTTCAACAAACTTTATATCTTAAACTGTGATTTGTGCAACAGAATTGATGCCAAGATAATATAAAAACTTTATGTATATGAGGAGGGGATGGGGCTTTATTGACAATGGGCACTTATAAATGGGGGGAGAGAGCCTATTGTATTGTGTTGTGGCCGCTTTTATAATTTAAGCTTTATATAATTATTATTCTGTATATCGTCCTAGATTTGTATGTCTACAAGAAAAGCCTCTAGATTTCATACCTCTCTGGAAGAGCATAGATAAGGTGTTGGACACAGATGAGCAAGAAACCCTAGAAATACCTTCAGCAATATCAGCTTATTTGAAGACAATCATGAATTTGATGTCATCTGCGAAGGACAGAGCTATACTTCAGTTTGTGCTGGGTGCCATTTATTCCAACAGTCAGCTGAGGTATGCATTTGGATACACTTGCAAAACTGCAAATGCAATAAGCAAAGAGGTCCAAGACTTCATCACACAGGCAGAGATTGAAACAAGTAGGTCTACCTGTTTGTCAGAGTCAGAGTTTTCAGAAACAATTACAAAACTGGCAAATAGCATTGAAAAATGCGAAAGCATGTTGGAAAGAAAACGAAAGCGCCTTAGTGAGGAAGAGATTGATGAGAGGGAATTTGACATAGGGAACAAAAAGAGACGTTTGAATGACATGCATCAAAATGCCAAACATTTTAAGTCACAATTTGCAAAGAAACACTTTTCTAAATGGAAAAACACCCTAAAAGTACAAAGTGGAAAGAAGCTGGGCAAGTACACTATAAATAGAGGTGCTGAACGTGCAATTTACTCTGTACTGGCTGAGCAGCTCAAAGCACACAGAAGGCGTTGGGGAGATGAGGGCACAGGTTATATTGAAGCTGATGAGAAAAGGCTTCATAAAAGGGAGATGAGGAGAATTGCCAATAAGTATCTTGCTGCCAAGGGTCTTCCTCTCATTAAGAGTACTGAAACTGTGAGGTCATGGGGAAGGCCACGGAACAAATCTAGTCGCCAAGCCAAACAACACCGTGGCCAAAACCTTTGGGCATTTGTCAAATCACAGAAGAAGTCTGGGCAAAGGCATGTCAATGTCCATTATAAGCGTGCACATATTAAACACTATACCAGACTTGCATTTGGAAAGTCTTCAGTAGATTTGTCCAAATATGTTGTACGCCGAGCTATGGATGATAAGGCCTATGTCAGATGTGGCACCTCAGAGGGATTTTCGTCCCATCCAGCCAGCTACAACACCATTTGAAATGCCATCCAGTGATTATCCTGATACTGTGGGATACGTCTCTCCAGGGGTTATCCTTTTAGTCAATGAAATGGAGGAAGTTGAACACCAAGGCAGGGACAAGTTCACCCCGACAGATGTCACCATCACAGTTACCTGTAAGCCAAAACATGTGTACCCCAGCTCTGCAACAAATTGGGCAAATGACATGTTTTCTGTCCGGTATTGTATGCGCAAAGAACATGAGGTGGAAAGAGAATGTCAATTAACCCTCCCAGATGAAGTTTTGGATGTCTTGGTTATGCTAAGAGACACCCTCCTACAGTATGAGCTGATGAGCATCCCAGATGATTATCTCCGAGCCTGTGAGGGAGGTGATCATTTGGCTAGAGACAAATTGCGTCATGATGTCTTGATTAAACGTCTGGACATATGTCTCTCAGCACTGAACTGTGTGGAATCTGTACAGCCAATTTGTGTGATGATCATGAATTTGAAAGGGCAGCTCTCCAAAATTGGTATTTAAACAAAACATCTTTATATAAAATGTGATTATAATACATATTAAGTATATTGTTAGTATCCTCCCCTTTAATATACCATTGCCTATCAACCAATCAAACATCAGGATTCACAATATACATGTAACATAGCAAGTTTTTAATAATTGATAAAAGATTATGATAGTTTTGAGTTTTGAATTCTAAAGTATCATGAGCTATCATGTGCCCTTTCACCAAGGCTAATTACATATAAGATGCTTTTATATTAAAGGTATACTTAACAATTATTCTTTGAAATCGAGGTGAATAGTGGCAAAATATATTTACCGAGCCGCGAAAGCGGCGAGGTAAATATTCCCAAAGCCACTATTCACCGAGATTGAGAAGAATAATTGTTTTAGTATATACACACGAAGTGATCTCAACAAAATCAGAAAGGAAACCATTCAAAAGTAGGATTTGATTGACAGATCAAATCACGCGTAAGTTTAAAAATAGATCTTTGCAGAATTTTCAAACATGGCAATTCACAAGTTTACTCATTTCGCAAACAACAGCGTAATGGCTTCAATGGAATCGCTAAAAGTTTGAACTGTTTCCTTACCTGAGAAAAAAAGTAGAGCTGTGTTGTTTTCTGTTGACTCGCCAAGTTTATAGCCAAAAGGGCATGTTGTGTCGTTCTTCGCATGAAGTGCTGACAAAAATGGCGGCTCGGTTGCTCGAGGTAAGAGGTCGTCTTCCTGTATCATTCTTTTTCCTGTTTACTTGAAATGTAGAATTTCTGCAAACATTTCCTTTTAAATTTGTTTGTCATAAATAAACTTCGATTTTTGAGCCAAAATTTTCTTAGAAAACGCTGAGTTCACGAAACGGCTTCTTCTACGCGAATACACGGAAGTTGTAAACAATCCATCGAGCACAAAACTCCTGCTACAGTAAATTGAAAAACGCCGTATTGAATCCTTCCAAGTCTTTTCTTGCCTTAAAAAAAGTCAGCCCTAGGATTTTGTCGACTTTTAAAAGATCGTTCTCTAAAAAAAACGGGAAAAACACCGAGCTCACACATTATCCACTCGCTAGGAGGTGAATATTGTTGAATAGTCCGAGATAGCGAACCAATCAGATTGCTTAAATCACCAAGATCACTGAGTGTGTATATACTAAAGTTTATTATTCTTAAATTTGTCATAGCTGAGATGCTTGCACATCATGAGGTACTTTCTGCTGAAGCACAGAATACATCCTACTCTGCAGCTACTGCAAGCTGTAAAGAAATTAGAATCCATCTTGAGACCAGTCGTCTGCCTCAACACAAGTTAGTTCAAGTTATTTTATATATTATATATGTTGTGGTTCAAATTTTTCCTTGGTTTAAATTTTTTTAAACTAATTTGATCTTCATTTTCCTTTGTTCAAGATTATGATAATGAATACAAGATTAAGAAAAATCAAAAACTGGTTTGAAAAATTTAAAAACAAGGAAAAATTTGAACCACAACATATCTATTGTAATTGTGAATTACAAATTAACATTTACTGTTGTGTATCTGTATACAGTGCACTGTAAAGGGTGCAATATTAAATTAATGATGTTCTTTTTGATAATATCCCATAGACCTATTGACATTCAAACAACTGATGCTGGCCCCGGGGTTTCTACAAATGAGAAGATGAGCCAACTTCGTCTAGCTGAATGTTTTATGATCAATGGGCTGGACCTCCAAGCTAGGTTTCATTATGCACCAGGTAATAAACCTTGTGGTATATTAAAATTCTGTAATATAAAGAATGAAATATTGACTTGTGGCATTTAAGAAATGTACACTGCCATGAAGTTTTTTTTTCCATTAACATTGTATGCACAGGTCTATGTCCATTTAAGTATCAACATGTACACTTGGAGAGGCCAGGTTCAAACAAAAAACCTTCTGTTTGAGAGCCCAGTGTGTTATTAACCACAAGGCCACTGTGCCTCCACAGTATGTACAGCATACTAAAAACTTTCACTTGTTGAATACACTTTTTAATTTTAAATATCTTTCTTTCAGGTGACTCTGCTTGTCACATAGCAGAAAAAGTGATGCGTTCCCTCAATGAATGTCTAGGGGATGGAAGAGCAATTCCAGTACGTTATGATGACTCCTCTGTTCTGGATAGCTTATCTGAATTATCCAAGGATGGACTCAAAAAGGCAAAAGAAAAGAAAATGGAAAATGCTGCTATTGAGTGTGCAAAGCAGGTGAGTCAACGATTTAGTGGTAAAACCTGCATGGGCACATCAATTCATTCAAGACTACCATCACTTCAACGGCATTTGACATTTTTCTTTGATGAAGAGTACATGCAGAAATGCTGCACCAATGCATCATCGGCCTCCAACCTTGAATTATGTGCAGGCTCTGCTTACTTCAACTTTGTACACAAATTCTTTCACAGCCACTACTATTTATATGACAATGGCTGTGAAGGAATAAGAAATGGATGCATCGAACAGGGAAAGCAAATGTGTCAATTTCACCAAAACATTGAGAATAAGGCACTTCTTTCAAATGGCTGGCGGGGTGAGTCAGTCCAGCGTGTACCTCCTCCTGTACCAGATTATTCTGAGACCTCCTCCTTCCATTACTGCATCCTCCAACAAACATGGAATGGTGATGTCTGTAAAAAGTTTGGTGTGAAGAAAGACATAGTCAATGATGCCACAAAGAGGGAACTAAATGACTTTTGCCCACGCAAGCAACTTGAAAAGCTGTTTGAATCTTGTGGTGAACCAGACTTACAACTAAAAGAGTTTACCCATGAAGATGGTTCTGTGTCAGTAAGCTGCATAGACAATAATAAAATGTTGCAAACTTTAGATGAGCAGCTGGACAGTTTTGTGGAGAAATTTGTTGGTGAGGATCTTCGGAAGACTACAGAAAATGAGATTAGAAGAAGATATAACCTGAAGGTCAAATCTGAAATAATCAAGAAGTCCAAAGCAAGTGTGAAAGCTGTGGAAAAGGCAAAATCGTACCAAGATATTGACTGGGAAAAACACATCTCTGAGAACTCTTTAGACAAACTCTACGTGTCACAGCTTAACCTGTACTTAGTACAGCATTTGAATATGACCAGAGCAGAGTGTGACAAAAAAGGATACACAAAAGAGAAGAAGATACAAGACATAAAAGCCAATTTCTTTGGCAGACAGCTTAACAGCTCATCCAAGAAACAAAACAATGGTCCAACTTTAATCTCATTACAAGGTACCACGCATAGTCACCCATCTTCAAAAATCACAAGTCAGCCTCCTTCTACAAATTCCTCGACACTACATGTTCCACCTTGGGGTGCCACCCTAAATAATACTGCTCACATGGTCACACAATCATTAACAAACACTTGCCCCATTGATAATTATTTGACTATATTCTATGTGCTATTAACTGACCACAAGAAGTTACATCAAGAACTTGTGAAGTCAACAGAGATTTTTGCTGGAACCCTCATTCACATCAAAAATTTATTTGACACCAGAATGTTTCCTGAAGCAAAACTTGAATGGCTACATTTGTTTCCAGCAAGATTTGACCTCACAGCACCAATCATTGATTTGTGGGGAAATGAGGATGACCTCTTTCTCTCAAGGCTTCAGCCTGTCTTTATGAACAACATATACTGGAACCTGTTCTTCGCCTGCATGCCCAGCCCAACAGGTGGATTATGTCTCCCACAACGTTATGTTAAGGTACTTGCCTGCAACATTTTATGCATTTATGCATGGCTTTTAAATGATATACCCTTCCATGGAAAGTACAACCAGTCAGAATATTAAAGCATATATTTGTATGTTGCTATTAAAATGTTGCCTGTATGTCTGTGTGTTGTATGTTATCTTTTGTTTTAATTTTATGTATGTCTGTATGTATGCACAAGTACATGCATGTCTTCTCATATATAAACCCTATTAAAATAATGTATTTAATGTGTTATTTTCAAGTGAGGTTGGCATACCACCTCCAGGATTTCTGCAGATGAGTCTTGACGAGTGGATGTCAACAGATCGTGTGAAAACACTGTGCGGTTCCACTCTTCTGGGTCCACTTACAGGTGGTAGCCCCCACTTTTTTGGGACAGTTCTTAGTCAGTGCCCTACTTCTGGTCAATTTGTGTAAGTTATACACGTTGTTAATTTAAAACAAATAACATTTAACTGAATTTTTGCTTCAAATCAAAATAGAAGCCTTGTCACATCAGCATATAGACCATGTAGCTGAAGCTCTTGAGTAGGGTGCTGATGTAAACGTTCATTTCTATGTTTAAATTTGTCCTATTTATAAGTATCCTTTGAAATCATTAAATGTATTTATTGTAATAGGATTATATGATTAATTGTACAAGTAGTGTTCATTCCTGTAACCAAGTTATTGGTTTTCCATGTAGGCAACAACTCCAAGCATATTGTGGTGGACAACGGTCTTACCAAAGGCGGACATTTGTACGTGGAAGTCCTCCATTTATCCCCCTTGTCTTGGATCCCTTTGCCACAAAGGGGATTCTTGCAGATATTTCGCAGTTACCCCCAGATATCAAGCTTGAAGGACACAGGTAAGCAGTTAGGGTTCACCACTCTATGTGTGTGTTGATACAGTAAGACTTTTAAAATGTGCAAAGAGGAAATCATATGTTAAAATGTTCATCAGTGCAAAGAGTGAATCATACCACTCTCAGTGAAATTTATGAGGTTGTGATTTCTCAGAAGAATTTTAATTTATAATGACAGAAGATGGTGTGCTATAAACTGTGTGAAATGTACATATCTTATTCTTGTTTATGTAGAGAATGATGTATTAAACAGTTTGTCATATTTCTTCCAGATATGTCCTAAAGGGTGCTACATTTTATAGTGGAAATCACTATAGAGGTGCTGTAAAGAGGGGAGGCAACTGGTTCCACTATGATGGTCTATGGGAGAGGCAACAGCCAGGAAGTGGATTGAGACTGGGGGGCACAGCTACTCCACATGGCTTTATGCTGTCAAGCTGCATTTATGTCAAGGCTTTGTTACTGTAAGAGGGTGGGAAGTATTAAAATTTGCTAGGTGTTTTCTTAAGACAACATTTGTGTTTTAGATAAGATATTCAATACTAATTTCCTGGCATCGGATAAAAAGATCCAGGCATTTTTGCAACATTTGTAATTCAGCTGAACAGAATTCCTTTATATTTATTTTGTAACCCAACATGTAACACTGAATAGACTAAATGCAGCTTGACAGTATCGGCCTGGAGAGAAAGCACTGCTTGAGGTACATGTACCATCTTGTATAGACATACCCTATGGAATACTCATTTTTGGTGATACTAAATATGAAGACTAAAAAAACTGGAAAAAAAAAATTCGTGCACAACCTTTAGGTACTAAAAAAAATTCGTGCACAGCCCAAAGGCGAAAAAAAAAATTCTTACCAAGCAAAAATTGCCCAACCCCCCCCCTCAAAAATAAAATGGTCCATCCCTAAAAGAAAAAGGTGGCCGACTTTTGTGTTCACCGCAAGTTTATTTTGTTTTCTTTCTGTCGGGCCCAGTTAAGTGTAAATTCAGCTTTGAATATACTTATGTATAACAGTATCTGATAAAAAATGTTACCATGAGTAACCATTGTTTTCTTCTTGTCTATGAATTGCTCACAAATCCTTAGGGGTGCATTCACTGAAAAATGTGCGATACACTTCATAGACTATAAATTATAAACGTTACAACAACTTAAAACCTTTTTTAAAAAAGGCTAACTCGGGCTCGAAAAGCTACGAGTCTGTCGGTAGAAGAAACGAGAACTGTTTCAATTTTAACAAATGTTTTCGGCAAAAACAAAGAAAACGCTTGTTGAAAAACTTCCTGGTCGCTGTTACGAAAAATTGTATTGCGAGACTAGTGTGACTTTCTAGAAGCTTCGCGAGAGTTCATAATTTGTTTATTTTAGGATCTTGTGTAAGCGTTTCTAAAAGCGGTATATTTTGTAATCTTTCTATTATTAGACTATTTGGAAAGTTCTAGAATCTTATTGTAAACGTATATAAGGTAGGCGAGCCCGAGTTAAGTTTTAACTAGTTTTCACAAGCGAAGAGAGTTTGACGTTGGTCGTGTTTAGTGAAGTGTGACGAAGGCAGTTTTTATTCAAGTTGGCGGAGGCCGCATAAGTTTAACTAGTTACGTGCTGTTGTGGAGTTTTACTCAGTGGAAACTACGTTCATCTTTGGAATAAATCTTCTTGTTGCTGTTCCGACAACCCTGCGTTCAGTTTAGTTTGCAAGCTACCCGTCCTCTAAAAGATTACCCGCGTAAAAGTCGCAAACTTCCAAAATAAACTCTTTGCACAAGTAACTGGAAAGAGGAGGAGAGACGTTGGGCTTGAAGTGCCAGTAAAGTACATTCAAGCGGGTATTCAAGGCATGACTTTAATAAAAAACAAGTACTAATCCACAGCAAGAGGGGATAAAGCTCCAGCTTTATCCTCTCTTGTCCACAGAAAGGAGTTTGTTCCCAATAACGATTGAAATCCGGAATCCAAGTTCTACTAAGAGAGAATAGATCATAGTCTCTTGGTTCTACTGACAAAGACTTGAATCCAGTACCTGGAATCTGGAATTACTTACCTAATTTATTGTCTTTTCTTTAATAACTCTGGTGGAGTTGATAACTTACCGTTTTCAGTGTCTGGTTTACTTTCTTTTTCAGCTTCATGATATCGGGCGTTATTATTT